CCCCAAAAAAACAAAACACACACACACACACACACACACACACACACACACACACACACACACACACACACACACACACATACATACATACATACATACAGACATAGTAACACCCTCACGGGAATAGTCAGGGAAGCTTCCTAGGATCTCAAAACGTCGAGATCTGATGAAAAATCGATTTTCGAAAAACGGGGTAAAACCAATAACTTCCCGATTTTTGAAAATTTTTAATTTTCTTAGCGGGAAAATAAAAATTTTTTTTCAAAGTGGTTTTTTTGGAATAACTTTTAAACGGCTCGATCGATCAACTCTCAAAAAAATACGCCCTTGACCTTGAAAAACCACGCCGATTGTCGCTGATCCGTTCAAAATCGGTTGATTCGTTCGTGAGTTATTGTTGAAAAAAAACCGAAAAAAATGTTTTTTCAGAATTACTCCGAAATTTTACGTTGTATCAATTAAAACTTGAAGATTCTTGATGATGCTTAAAAAACTGCGTCGAATGCTACCAACCGCGTGCAAATCGGTTCATTCATTCAAAAGTTATTGCCGTTTGAAAATTCAAAAAATTGTGTTTTATGAAACTGATATTAGAGTTTTGAGCTCAGAGAGCTCAAAATGACAAAAATTATATTTTTGAGCTCGAAGATTTTTATGTATGGCTACTTTTGATAATTATATTTTAATAAGTTTTCTATCATTAAGTGGTAAAAAGGGGTCTACTTGACGCGTTTTGACTCACATGCAGGAAGCATTTTTTTTTAACTATTTGAATGTTGGAGAGTTGCAGACACACAAACGTTGTTCACGTGGTCACTCCTGTTGTGAGATTTGTTACTAGTAGAGAAAATATTATTTCTTAAGAAGAAATATTGTTTTGGTTTGTAATTAGAATGGTCAGGGAAAATACGGTTAATTAATGGAGGAATATTTTGACAAGTACTTTGTGAAAAATTGAGAAAGAGCACCATTCGGGTTCACTCAAAATTAAAAATGAAATTCAATCCCCTTTCCATCCCTACAAAACATATCAGAGCATACCTGAGCACAAATCTTTCATAGTCATGCATGGTTGTGCTTAATTACTCATGGTTAAACATGTAATTGACTATGATTTAGAGAGCCCATGCATAATAGGTGCTTAGTCATGCATGATTAATTATTGGCTCATGCTTGATCGAGCACAGTTGTCCACAATAATTTTTCTCCAGATATAAAGTTGCAGAATATTTTGTATTACCTGGTAGTCTAGAATTGAAAATCCTAGTCCTTTTTCTCCTTTAATTAATTCTACAATTTGAGGTTGTGTGTTCCATGTTGCTAATCCAGTAAGAAGTTCTAACGAACGAGATTTCACTTTACATATATGAGGGATCTTGGAAGAAGTTATACTGATTAATGATTCATCTGATTTAGCTTTTACAAGACGCTCAGATACAAATGAAACATTCTGAGATGTGTCAGCCAAAGTACCCTGCAACAAAATAGTTTAGATACATATCAGTCGATAATAGGAAGTTTTTGATAGCTTTTGTACTTTTAGAGGTTCTTAAATAGATCTGAGTTCAAGACAATCTTAATTTAAAAATTTCCGACTGTCATAGAAGTGAATACCTTGTCACGGGAAGTTTCATTTCTTGTATGTGTACCTATCTGCGCCTAAAGAAAACAACAGATCTATGCTTGATGTCATATAATAACAAAATGTTGCATTAATTCATCTATTATATTGAACTTTGTTACAATTTTAGTGGATTACATAGAAATCTAACTATTGCAGTCGTCCTCATGGCGTAACTTTTAAAAAATTTAGCAACTTTCTCACTCAGTTCGACAAACTGAGTCAGAATATATCGTTCGTTTAAAAGTTTTTATATAAGGTGCATTCCACGCCAAATCGACCATTTTTGACCCTGACCCCTTTTGATTTTGCTGAAACTTTACCATCCTTTTCTACTCTATCAAAAACATCTCTCATAATTTTTTGTAATTTTTTCACCCAACCAAAAAAAAGTTATGAATTTTTCAAAAAAACCGCTTTTTTATTTTTAAATTGCCATAACTTTTTCCAAAATTGACTTATCGGGACGTTTATTTTTTCAATATTTTTGTTATTAAATGTTCTTTTTGGCAGTATTCGGTTAGCACTCGATCGGTTCGGACGTGTTTATACATTACTCCGTACCGCGAGTTCAATTAAACCGTATAAACTATTGTGAACATAACTAATAAGTGCGAATCAATCTCTTGTGACTTCCAAGTGTTACGCGAACAAACTCGCGAGTGCCAATAAGTCGATCTGAAAGTTCTCTGACTACAGGGAATCTTCAAAACCGTACAATGCGGTTCCGCACGAATTGATCCCCCGACAAAACATCCCCCGATGTTGTGTCAGCGTCATAATGTCCGCGACAAATTCAGGAATTGGGTGAATAAAGGATAAGGGGAAAGGGGAGGACCTTTTTTTACTCAGTAGGAATCTTTTTAGTGACTGAAAAAATATAATTCGGACAGCCCGGACCGGTAATCGAACCCAGATCGTTCGGTTACGTGCCAAAGGCTCTACCAGTTAAGCTATCCAAAACCTTGTCCGTAACTACTATTGAGTCACCTATTAACGCCTGACTTGAGTAAACGCCACCGTCCATCTTACGGTAATAACAAATATTAATTTGTAGTTTAAATTTGTCGTGTGAATAAGTCAGCGACACAATCAAGGGATATAGTGTCGAGGGATCAATTGTCGCGGGACCGTCGTCGAATTTAAGTCTTAACTAAGAATGATCGACATATATATATATATATATATATATATATATATATATATATATATATATATATA